GCGTAGACAGTCTATAACTTCTGTCAGATGTAATCACGCCCCTTCTTTGTACGCTGCCCAGCGTAATCGTATGTTTACCTGTCAAGCGGAATCACATTTCAGCATATTTTTTTTAAGCGTGTTAAATCGCTCAAATCTGTCCAGCGATGAAAATCTTAAGTTTTCACTCAGTCTCATCTTGCTTCTTTATGTCTTATTGCTTTTGGTCTTTTTTATTTTATTAAGCCTTTATGACGGTTAAAACATCGGTGATGATAAACTATCCAAACTATCAAATTTATAATCTTTCCATTTCTGGCTATTTTTACCCACAATCCTCTCTGGTTTTGAGTGTACAACCCCTAAATATGTATAGATTCCTCATTCGACCGCTCCAAGCACGTAGACGCGTCCGCCATCTTGCAACGGTCAACTTGACGTAATTCACCATAATAATCAAAGAATATTCAAAGATGCCACAATCCTCAGCCGAAGGTTGTAAAAACCACCAGGATTTAAATTGTTGGTTTGTGTTTTTAATATGTATTACCTCAATATTACGGGTTTTTAAACAAAAGTACCATTTAAATGCCTTTTTAGCCAAGGGCTTCATCTTGTTGTATTGTCTTGAATGCGTTGATTGACAGGCATAAAGCACCTCAATAAGCCTTTTGATTGGCTAATCTGACAGCGGCTTGCGTCTACTTTTTTTTGTACTGTTTACAGAAACTAGAGCTTTGTCCGAAACTGCTCCCTATCCTCTATATATTGCACTATATCGGGTGTCTGCCATTTTGTAGTGCTGTCCGAAGTCTGAGTGAATGAGTTCATTCCCTACATTCGTTAAATATTTTTACCCACAATCCTCTCTGGTTTTGAGTGTACAACCCCTAAATATGTATAGATTCCTCATTCGACCGCTCCAAGCACGTAGACGCGTCCGCCATCTTGCAACGGTCAACTTGACGTAATTCACCATAATAATCAAAGAATATTCAAAGATGCCACAATCCTCAGCCGAAGGTTGTAAAAACCACCAGGATTTAAATTGTTGGTTTGTGTTTTTAATATGTATTACCTCAATATTACGGGTTTTTAAACAAAAGTACCATTTAAATGCCTTTTTAGCCAAGGGCTTCATCTTGTTGTATTGTGTTAGTTTAGCAAAAGCCTCTTCTGAAGTCTGCTGAAGATACAGATATTCATACATGTGTATAATTAGTTGCAGTGCAGATGCATTGGCAACTTGCTCTTGAGTGTTCATGGATATTCCAATATGGCGGATGGCTTACGTATAGCGGCCCATCTATGGTACAACCAATGTAAACTCACTGAAGCACTATTTCCCATAATCCAATGCGGAGAGGACTGACGATGCTGACGATGAGCGAGTTTGAATGAGAGATGCCATTTATATCTTTCCTATTTCTGCTTTAACGGTTATTTCTTGTATTATTAATATTAAACTATATTATATAGGAATTAACTCAGTTTAATGTTTCAGAAATTTACTGAGGTGGCGTTGCTGTCTGTCAGATCTGTGCGATATGTTAGGATTGTTATTTTAGTGAAACCTTCAGGGAGTAGATCTTTTTTTTTTTTACAACTTTTCTATATAAAATAGAGTACAGCACCTGTAGGACAACAAAGGTACACCTGTGGCAACATTTCCACAGATAGCCTAAAGTTTAAGCAGGTTGCATGCTAACAGTCTCTTGTATGCAAATACATGAATGTTAACGTTTTTTCAAATGTCAAATCTTGAAACATGACCACCTCTGTAAGTGTGAACAGTGAGACTTATGGTAAAAGACAACACAGGATTATTTTTACACAAATGGAATCAAAAAAGCCAAATAGTGACCCAAAAAGTGTCTTTATTGTGAGGAGGTTACATTAGCATAACAGATCGTCATCATAATTATGTTGTCTTAAATGACACATTATAAAAATATTCAGATTCATTCTATGTTCTTTTATAAACTAGTTTATACTTTAAGATATAGGTTGATTATCTGCAATACTTTATCTTTCGGTACAAAACACTCTTTTTAGAGATACATTAGTAAGACAAATGACAGACGAGTCAAAACGATAAACAATTCAAACAACATACATTCTGGATTATTTAACCCCATAGCTTCAATATGCTGATCAGTTAGTGACAATGCATTTGTCGGCGAGTACAATAATTGCATTCTTTTTTTTTTTTTTCAGTTTTGCTCAGACTCCACACTTGTCCAGTGCTTCCAAAATGGTTCAGAAGTTGGAGGACGCAGGTCAACATGATTACAAGGTCCCGTGGCTTCCGACGTTCCTGCTGTCAATGATCTTGATGTTCTCCTTTACCCATGAGTCAGTGGGTTTGGCACACACGTAATGACCCTTCACAGTCTTGAACCTGTATTCAGAGAAATTCAATAACATCAAACACAAAGGAATTGCTCTGCTGGTCATATTAGTTCAAACCATTTTAAACATAACAATATTAATGATTATTAATATAACAAACGTAAAAGTTATTACAAATATTAAATATATAAAAACAACAGATATAAAAATGGTTTTAATAATAATAATAATAACAACACTATTGTAATTTTTCTCCCACATACACACAAACAGAGATATATTGTTGTGAAACTTACAGCACGGCTTCTTTGGGGCACTGCTGGCTTGTCATGCTGTACTCAACCACTTTTTTGATTGGCACAGGACGGGTTGAAAAGGTAAAACAGCACCTTTGTGGTCCAATACGCAAACCTAGATTAAGAATACACAAACAATTTTTGTTAAAACAGTATACATCTAGACTGTATGTTGCACAGATTTTAATTAAATATTATACATATTTTAAATTGCCTTGTTTTTCAATATGTTAATTTATCTTTCTCCTCCATCTTACCTTCACTGAGGCTAACTGCGCAGAGAAGCACCACCACTGCAGAGAAAATGACGAAGCGAGAGGCGGTCATTTTGGCCGTTCTGTTGTATTAGATGGGCTGGATGTACAGAGAGTCTGTTAGAGGTAAAGCACTCAAGCTGGACTTGCTGCTGTGTGGCTCATTGTCCAGGCAGTCGGACTTTATACAGACTCTTCTGTGAGGGGAATATCCCTTTATGGGTGGAATTTGAGGAGGGAGATTTTGGTTTGAATTCACCCACACATAAAGAAAGTCCGGCAGTATCTGCCGTCATCCCACACGTGCTTCTGACCTTCACAAGTCATATTTAGGCAAAGCCTTTTTGAGGGACAGCCCTAACAGCAAAGCTTTCACTTCCTCTTTCACTACAGTGGCTAAAAAACAAAACAACACTGGAGTACTGAACACAGTGTGCCATTATTATACTAGAAGGATATTAGATGCATTAGACTCACGCTCATGCCATTCCAAACACAAAAGCGTCATCAAAAGCGTCATGAATTTTGATGAATGTATTTGGTATTACAGAGGGGACACAGTTTTGTCAGTCTTACCAAATATTGTGGATTTTAAACAGAGAAAAACATATGAGAAAATGAAAAATAGTTTGGTCAAATATAACAATTTGGCTGGAAGGTCAGACTGTTCATTTTTGGGAGAACTACACCCTCCCAGTCAATTTTTAAAATATGAGTAAAATTATGCAATAAATTATTCCTGTTTTTACAACAACAATAGCTTAATAAAATTATATTTTATTACTGCTAGAATACATACTTTAATAGAAAATGTGATTGAATATACGTATATGTAAATAAAAAAAAACATTAGTTAGCATTTAATTTGATTCCTGTTTTTGTTCTGTTGCTGTAATAATAATAATAATTAATTAATTAATTGTAATTTAACTCCATTAAATTACATTTTATTACTGTTATAATAAATACTTTTTTATAGAAAATGTGATTGAATGTATATAATAAGACGAAGAAAAAGAAGAAGAAATGAACCATATATTATAAACATATACAGTTGAAGTCAAAAGTTTACACACCCCTTGCAGAATCTGCTAAATGTTAATTATTTTACCAAAATAAGAGGGATCATACAAAATGCATGTTATTGTTTATTTTAGTAGTGACCTGAATAAGATCTTTCACATGAAAGATGTTTACATATAGTCCACAAGATAAAATAATAATTTAATTTATAAAAATGACCCCATTTAAAAGTTTGTGATCTTTTATGTGAAAGATCTTATTCAGGTCAGTACTAAATAAACAATAACATGCATTTTGTATGAACCCTCTTATTTTGGTGAAATAATTAACATTTTGCAGATTCTGCAAGGTGTATGTAAACTTTTGACTTTATTATTGTATTTTGTTACTAGTAGAATGAAAGAATGAATAGGCTCTATATGGACGTTCTGGAGCTTATAATAATAATAACCATATATTTTATTGATAAAATAAATACCTTTTATATTGAAAATGTGATTTAATGTATATGTAACTTCAAGAGACATTAGTTAGCATCTTATTGTTATTCTAAATGAAAAAAAAATAGTCTAGTTAGCTTAAATCTAATTGTTAAAATTTATTGCCGTTATGAACATCCTTAAAGACACGCTGGCACCACATTTAGAAGGCAAAAATGTCCCATCAAGTATCACATCCTCTTTCGAAAAGGGGTGCAAATGCATGACAAATGTCATCAGCAATGTTACTAGTGTGAACTTCTGGCATTTTCGTGTTTAGACACACATGGACAGTTTCACTTAAGATTCAAACGCCCCCTCCTCAGCTAGAAAAGACCAAACAATCTCTCTTTTTTTTTTTTTTTTTGTCATAAGGCTTGTTTTAAAGCCACATATAGAGCACATAAAATATATAATTAAAATATGTCAGTGTATTAGAACCATGTACGTTAAGGTACATTCCTGATGATTCACAGATCAGTGTTTTATTCTGCAGAACTATTCAGCTAATGTAACCGTCCATTTGATTTTAAATCATGTCTTACTAAAGGGAAAGAACCTAGTGTCCATTACTCATATTCCCAGTGGAGTTTTTTTAGGTTATTGAATGTAACAAAGGTATCCTGTTGTTTCTTTTTTTTTTTTTTGTCAAGCTTCAAAGGAATCCCTTTAATAGCCTATTGGTAATTTGTGTTGCAAAATGCAAGGGAATTATTTGAGGGGCTTTTTAAAGCTTCTTTATGTAGCTGAGACAGCATTAAAATAGGCTAAATAATAAAATACATAGAAAATGTTACAATAACATTCAAAGTATACTTGTCTTATGTTGCAATGCATTATTATGTAACATTATATTTATATGGCCAGCTGTGTACAAATATAGGTTGTCATTAACACACAAACACATATCAATATATTAGAAAGCAGATTTAATTCCGTTTTAATTTGCAGGGAAAAACTAACTAAATTAAAGCATATTATACATGTAAGACTATGCTGTATTATATCAGTGAAATATTAGATAGAAATTACAGCTTTAACTTCTCTATATTGTGGAAAATGTCCTCTCGCTTTGCAAAAAAAAAAAAATCTCTCAAGTCAGGAAGTTCCAGATCCCAAAGCTTAGACTATATTGTTGAAGACAATACAGCTGAGATGCCAACTATACATCTCAGTTGTAACACTCTGTCATATTATTTTGCTCACCAGTAGGGCTGTCGCGATTCGTCGATTTTATTCGACTATTCGATTTTTTTAAATCCTCGACTTCATTTTGCTCGCGTCGACTAACCGGCAAAATACCGGAAGTGGCGCATTTCACAGACGAGAATGTATAAAACACATTATTAGTCTGTTTTCCAAGGCTGCATGATATATTAAACCCATTTAAAAATAATTAAGCATAATTGTGAATTCACAAACGCTACGATTTAATTAAATAATTATATACGATGCAGTTCTAATACAGTATATGCGCTTTAATTATGTACATGCGTCACACTAAGGTCAATCATTTATAAATCTACGCAAACAGGAGAATACATCCCGGTTTCAAAATAAAAGCTCAAACCCTCACTCTGAGTTTACACGTTTTGATGTCCACATATTCATTTAATTACAGTGGCTATAGCATTTCTGTCCTAAAGAAATGGCCAAATATTAAAGATTAAGTGGTTTGTTCAATAAAACCATATGATTTCTTGCTTTTAATACTTTATTTGAACTAATTATTATTGCCTCATTGCTATTATACATGTATTTTAAGTCATTTTAAAGGCTATTGTTCACTTACATCTATTTTTATTACCACAAAAAAAAAAAAATTATAATTATAGGGCACTATGAAATCAGTTTTATTTCTAAATTCATTTTTTTCCATTTTAATTTTTCAACACTCTGTTTTAATGGTTAAATAAAATTGTATTAATCAAAAATCCTGTCTAATTAATTGTGTTTTACAGTTTTATCTTTACCAAATTCTGTTTTCCATTATTTTCTGGATTCCATTTTAATGGTTCCATTAAATTTTAATAATCAAAAGCATCTCCAATTAATTGATTTTATAAAAAAACACAAATTTATTATTTATTTTTTACCAATAAGCGGAAATAGTTATCTTTCAGTCTATCCCCACTTCATCTGCAATTGTCATCTCCCAACTCCTGCCAGCTGGTCTGTTTTTAAAAGCCTATGTCAAAACATCACATATATCATTTTAATTGTATCACAAAGCAATTATTACAGGTTCATGCTCAGTGTGTTTGTCTTGTACCACGAAGAGACTAGTACATGCTATTCAGAGTCCTTGAGGTCTAATTAAGGCCGAATACAGGCCTACAGTTCCCTGATTTTATTTATAGGCTATCCTACAAACATGTACTATTTCTCTAATAAAAATATATCTTGCAGAACCCAGTGCATAAGAGGTGGTAATTTCTAAGGCCTGTTCATGCCAACACATGCATTTACCTGTTTAAACTAATGCTTAAAATATGGCAGAGGGGCTGATTGAAAATGCTGTTTCACTCTTTGCTTGTCAGTAGCTTTCCTCTTTATGACATAGAAATTATGATTATGACCATTTTAACTAAATGAGAAGTTACAGATGCAGTCAAGTAAGAATAACAACTTTGGATACACAAATACAAAATCACTAGCTCTTCACATTTCTACCTGCACAACTACAGTAGAAACTTTGTGTGGCAACAAGCCAAAGTAAGAAGATACTAAAGTCAGGTTATTGCAGGCCTTGTCTTATTCATAACGAGTCATTCTCTATCTTCTGACCAGCTAATGTTACTTCATGGCTGATTTCAGTTTCATCAATTTTGCAGAAAAAGACCAACATGAATAGGTATTAGTTTTAGTTCCTTTAACCGTTTGTATTTTTGGAATTATATCTTCATTTTTTTTAATACAGTGAGTGCACTGTAGCGACCAGAAACAGAAGTAGCCTATTACAACAGCGAAACAGGAAAACACGCCAAACAAGATCACTGAGAGAGGAAATATACATATCCGACACCTCACGCGGTACACGCAGTGTTAAAATGGACATTGTGTGGCATAAGTGTCAAATATAGGCTATATTTGTAGCCTTACTTGCTTGGGGTAGAGCAGTTCGTTAAGATGTCACTTGTTCCAAGCTGCTGCATTATCTGTAGCTTGTGAAGAACTAGCGTTAAGGTTGATTGAAGTGAAAGCACGTGCTCCTGTCGCGCACAAGGCCAGTACTTTAGTATTGAATGTTTTATCAGTTAAACTCATTCATTAAGATCCATTAGGTGCAAGGTAATCAGCTGTACATTAGTTGGCATTAATATCGCAGTTTAGCAACCATGACGATTCAGCGGCCGCTCTGACTGATCCAGTGAGTTTGTTCAGTGAAGGAATCATTTAGACCGGCTCTCTTGATTCTTTTTGAATTATTTATTAAATGAACGGACTCATAGGAGTAATTTATTGACGAATCAAGCTACACCAGTTGCGATGTTTTAGATTCACTAAAAAGAACCAGCACGTAAGAGTCACTTGTTTGTGAATCGGACTGCACAGGATGTGCTTTTTGCATCCAGCAAGCGAGGAGCGCAGGATGCTTTGAAATGGCTGGATTACAGCTGCGAAAATTCACCGAATAACGGTAAATGTGAGTGCACCTTTATTATATAATACATATGTAAATACAAGTTATGCCCACCGACGAACTTAATTGAAATAATATTTTGCATATTTCTGACATGGTATGAACACAGCCACATTTTGCAGGGCCCAATAAATAAAAGAGCCTAAAAAAAATGCCTACATAGACTCACAGCTTAAAACAACTAATATAGATCATGGAACCTGTAAGAAAGTAAATGTTGCCGTTAGTATCACATCTTCTTTCGGTCTATAGTTCAGGTCAGGACAAATGAAATCAGTCATAACAAGAGTTCTTGCTCTGATTGAACAGCAAACACTTGCCAAAGTTCTACAAGCCATCTATTCTGCTGCTGTATGTTTAATCATGAAAACCTGAGCTGGATACAACATAAATTGACTGAACATAATGAACATAACTATTTAAAATACATTTGAGAAGATTTGTGATTTTTTTAAAGAAGAAAATAATAGCCCCTGGTTGTAGTGGTTGAGGGTGAAGTAAATGTATACTTGTGTAAATGTATTCATATACTTGGATCCAAATGTGTGAATTTCATAAATGGCTCTTGTTTCTACTGTATGAAAACCTGAATAAGTGCATACCCAACCATCCTAAAACAAGTTAGGTGTCTAGTTGTTTACAGGAGATACAACGGTCTGCTTTTGAAGAATTTGTTACAACAGGTTCTTCCTGAAGTGACGTTGCATTCAACACTCATTTATTTATTCTACCTTGTAATCTGCTTCCTGTGGAATTTTGTCAGATATACAGAATGAGTACAATGAAAGTTTTGGACAGTACACAATTGTGCGGGATCTTTAATGGAAAACCATTTTTATAGTCATTGTTACTTTTTTTAAGTTAGTGTTAAATTTTGTAAATACACTACCATTACTCAGTAAGATCTTTTTTTAAAGAAATGAATATTTTTATTCAGCAAGGATGCATTAAATTGATCATTAATGGCAGTAAAGACATTTATAATGTTACAAAAAAATATTTCTATTTCAAATAAATGATGCCTTTTAAATTTTCTATTCATCAAAGAAACACTGAATATATATATATA